GGCACCGAGTTGATGTAAGACTTAAGAGAACAATAAGAAGAAGTAGAATGTATTTGTAAAATTTCAGCAGATGAATTTGAAGTTAATCCAACATTTTGCCTACTAATCTGGTTCAAGATTTTCGAACAAAATATAAACAAACATCAAAATTATTGAACATAAACAAACACCATTGCATCATGTACTTATCTATATATTCGATAATTTTGATGTTTAATTGCATTTTCTTGAACAAACTTGGATCAGATTGTCAGTTGAAACATTCGATCGACTTCAAATTCATTCGTTGAGATTTTACAACTACATTCTTCTTCCCTGATGAAAATAATTTGACTGACTGCTTACATTCGGAAAGTTGAATCTTAAGATTCAAGTCAACTACTGTTGAATATTCTTGATGACATTGACTATCCAAATTGACACTTTTTGGTTTCAAGTACATTCATAGATAGAGATAATGAATTTGACGTGGGTTTGTTCTCTGAGCTGGATGGTTAGGTCGTGGAGCTTTCATCGTCCTTCTGAACGACATCGTCAGCACAAACTTCGGGTAGAATTGAAGTGTTTAAATTTCTCCACTTCTACCCGAAGTTTGTGCTGATGATGTCGTTCAGAAGGACGATGAAAGCTCCACGACCGAACCATCCAGCTCAGAGAACAAACTCACGTCAAAATCACTCACCTGAGCTACACTATTTTCCACCATCTCAGAGATAATGAATAATAAGATCTAATGATGAACATCTTCTGATTAAAAATCCATAGACGTTTGTTATTCGTATTATATTATATTATTCAGGAATCCCAATTGGCTTTATAGGATTGTTATTATGATCTCTTCAATGATGAGATATTCATTTCATTTATTCTTTGAGTCTTACTTCCCTTTCACATTATGAAGTCAATTATCATAATAAGAAAGCAATTGTCTTTTTAAATAGGGAACTGAAAGTTTTAACAATAACTGTCTAATTTGCTTATGCAATGTGATTTTGTGTCATAAATTTGTTAAACATTTAATTTCAGTGGGTATTTTATAGTCTGCATTGAAAGCGTGAATAAATGTTTCAGCAGTGAACTATTACTGAAACTTTTATGGAATATAAAGTAACCAGTAGAGTTCAAACCACGTCTGTTGTGAGATAGTAACTCACTGAAGACAATTGGTGAACGGTTGCTCAACTTCGTGTATTGGTTGAAGTTAGACATAAACACCATCGGATGCCGGTACAGTGGTCTATTGATAGGTCCTGGATTCGAGTCTCGCGAGGGGCGAGGTTGTGCATGCGCACTGCTGAGGAGTCCCACAATCGGACGAAACGGCCGTCTAATGCCTACAGGTTTTCCTTGGTGGTCTAGCTTCAATTGACTCATGAATTCAACTATAAACTTCAAGATTTGTCTAAATACTTATTACTAAACATTATCTGAAAACTTAGAGGGCTGTATCTATGTCGTAAGATTCTAATAAGCAGTTAAAAGGGATCCTAGTTCCAAGCGAACCTTAATGTGATGGCGATTAACTCAGTTGAAAAACTACATACCTTTCGAACTGAACATTGCGACTGATCATTCGAATTGTGTTATTCACTTTAAATAAGTTTCTATTTACTTAAAAGTGTAGAAACATTAAATCTTTTTACTTAACAATCAAATTATCCAATGTAAATCTGTGTAACTACAATGGTGGACCATATATATATCACCTTATTGAATGTCCAACTATGAATTATCAGAAGTCTACAAGATGTGATGATACAGCTGATTCATTTCGACAGTGTATTACCGGCTATCATAATTAAAGTTAAGCTTATTAATTATTTATCATTATCATAGTTGAAATCATGAGTCAGCTGAAGCTAGACCACCATGGAAATCCTGGAAGCACTGGACGGCCGTCATGAGATATGATAGTTGCGTTCTAGTTTATTAATGTGTAATCTATAAAGCTTGAACAAATTACAAAATTACGTATTCACACTTCTTATTTTCACGGTTAAATGAATACAAAACAGATCAATCTGCTAATACTTCATTACATAATAATAACCATTTTATAATTATAATAATATATAATCTTATCAATGCAATTGTACGACATTGTTTGATACTCATGGAACATTGTCAAGTTGTCTGGCTTTTGTTGAACATGGAACGCATTCATTCATGATGAACTCTTCTTTTTATGATTTTAACAGGGTTACGAAGGATCAGAATAATTATAAGGAGCAGGTAACTTGATTCAACAAATGACGGACAACAATATGCATAACAAATAGAAATATATGTATATGTGTAGTTGAATGTATTTCGTCCATAGGTAGAAAAGACCATATATAAAGTCGTGTGGTCCAGGACAATCATTTTATCTTATTCATTTGATTGAAGTAAAGTGCACGACATCAATCGTTGATGTATGGTAGTGCGTTGTTTAATCCATTATGTTATGTGATCATTGGTTTTGTGATGGGATATCACACATAATAATACTTTTCATCCTAGATGTCAACAAGTATTCAATGACAACACAATAACTATGTAATCACACTTTTGTAATAAGTGTACATCACATACAACATAGAAAAGATCAAGTTTAACTGCCTGTATATGAGTATGAATTGTTGCATGAATAAAGTTTAGACAATATTTCGTTTTGTTCGCGGTCAGTACGTTACGAAGATAGATAGATTGACATATGTGGGGCTATGCATTCCATGTTTCGTTACAACACTGAGTCATTCGTTATACGAAACGAATCTTGAGGACGTTTGAAAATACTTCAAAGCACTATGTAGTGAAGAGTAGTCAGGTGTTTGTGCACAAAAAAGCCTATGAAGAGGTTCACAAAATGAGCGTCAATCAAAACGGACTTGCTGTTGAAATTAAGAAAACGGGCTAATGATACTATCTTTGATAGTGACTACAGTCCCGCTTTGCAATGTCTCCATCATGATTGATAATCAACAATTCATCCACAGCGGTGAAGAAGGTTTATTGTTTATATAAACACAGATTTAAGGATTTAAACAAACTAAATAACATCAGCTTGCGTGAAATATATTTGTCTGTCATGGTGGCTCAATTTATACTTGAAAGTTGTTTATTTATTGGTGATAGTAGTGAGAAGTGAAAATATCTGACACATGTTTTGTCCCTATTTCAGGATTTATTCAATGAATACACACCTCGTATAAACTTCTTAGTGTTAGTATCTATATTGAGACTTGAATTCCGAATGCTTTTTAGTTTGCAGGATTGATGGAAATAACATCGCTGTTAAAGTGAAGATTGCCTGATTGAATGTCTGCTTAATATAACGAATATATTTGACACCGTGAGGTTGTAGAGATTTTTTAATTTTATAGAAAGGATGAACAGACCAATGTTAGATCACTATTGAAAGCCTGAAAGGAACGAATGATCGATTTTTCTTAGTATGAGACTTCTTTGTCGAGCCCATCCACGATCCTGCAACCAGGAATCGACTGCAGGAATTTCAGTCCCGCATGAAAACTCTCAACTTTAAAACCAGTGAGCCTCTTGTTATGATTTCTATTGTTACGACCCAGATATTCCCATTGCTTATTATTCCTGCACACCAATTCCCTCGACAGGTCCCCAAGTCGGAACATGGTTGGACAGGAAAGAAATTATAATCCGAATAACAGGGGGGAAGGAATTAACAAGCACAATCATAAATATGTAGGTATATCTATAGTATTTACGTGAAGACATTCAAGAGTCTTCCCCAAGAATCGAACGGCGTTGATTGGGTGTTTATCATGATAGTCTATGGCAAGTACATTTTGATCCACTGTGAGCAATCGTCTTTCTGCCCCATGATGTCGATTGAACGTTTAGTTGGGGTTCATGAGCTTGCATCGAGATGTGTTCATATTTTCCTGCCAAGTAGAACTTCTGGTGGAGAGACTCCGTTGGTCGTTTAAGGGTTATTAGTACTAGAAGAAAACTTATAAGATACTTATGGATTCAATGGAGAAATGATAGCATTATTGTGATTACCCTAGTTTTTTCGTCAACTTTGTCGTATGGTTGATATTCTTTTAACTTGATCAGACTTGAAAAAATTGAATCAATTTTTCTTGCAAAAATTATTCATGGCTATTCATAAAAACTTTATCAATTGTCCAAAAAACTGAAACCATCCTCAGTAGCAAACTGTTTTGACTTTAAAGCACTTCATTATAATGAATGTGACTAAAAATCTCATTATCGTCAATTCTAAGGTGCATGTGAGCGTAAAACTTTGACACTGAAAGCTTTACTCACAAAAACCACTAACTCTTGCAGCCATCAAATATTGATTCAAAGCGTAAGGATCACATGTGATGCTGATGAAGAAAACTCTGGTTTAGGCTCACATAAAGACTAAGATTTGAAGGAAACTATTGAACCTATAGTCCACATATTAACAAAAAAAAACATGGAAGGAATCGTAATCAGTCTTGATGACATCTCGTTAACACCTGCTTGTTACTGAGCATATAATTGATACTTGATAATCAAGTTACGAAATATGGAAGTGTTTGGTTAAGTATTGATAAGTGTTCCGACACATTACTCCATCAAAATGAACAATCACTTAGAACTCATTGTTGATTTCAATTATCAGGAAAACAACTTTCGATGATATGAAGGCGATAACGCAAATAATAAAAATAATGTTTCATGTTTTATAAGAAAGATTACATCAGCTAATATGTAGACTATGAAAAGAACATACAAAGTACAATGAAAAAAACTATCCAACTTATTATAATCAAAAAAAGAAATTTCAAAATATTCAATGGAAATACGAAATTGAGACAACGTTTACAGAGTTTTCAAAGCGATTTATAAGACGTTTTTGAGAATCATTCATCACTGCTCTTTCTTATGAGTAATCACATTCACATTATATAACCGAAAAACATGAAAAATAGAGAGACCAGAGGATATAGAAAGTCAAAGTATCCATGTGACTTGTCTGGTGTATGCTCCTACGTTGCTTCGGTGATCATATTCTGTAGAAAAACAAAGAATTAGCAAGTTTCAATTAATATCAAATATCTACCAAGTGTTCATGAGTGTCTTCAGTAGTTTTTATTAGGTTTTGTCTAACCTGAACTTTAGGTGTTTGCATAGGCGTTTCAATGTGTTTGATGGGTGTTTAAGTACTTAAATCGTTGACACCTGAGTTCTTCCAAATAAATCAATCAGAAGCATTGATTATCAAACATCAAACATCATTGTTGATTTCACTAATCATCACACCATTGTCAGTAATGATGTCACAAGAGAATTCCACAAAAAGTTGCAGAATTGGCATTTGTACAATCATTTAGGATATCTACTAGTGATTAACAACCAGTGTGCTCAGCACACACTATCCTACACCTAGTTGAGGACTCATTTCTGTGGTGAAATGTGTGTTTTGGATTTCATATCTCATCAAAATGCTGATATAAATCGATAGACTTAAAATTGACGGCCTAATTGTAGCAATCAATTCAGATTACCCATTTTTCCATAGAGAAAAAGAAATCGTTAATCTGGACTGTAGCACTCGTAGTCTACAAACTGACACTAATTATTGTAACGTCGTGCACAATATTTTTTTAGTTGAGACTTCTTCGTTTCAACTGATCTCATCGCTATATTTTGATAATTCACATAGATCTACGGATTCTTTTCAGAGTTTTGAAATTATGAAGCATTCAATGAGCTTAAAAATGTCAACGCCTTCAAACGTTTTTGGTGAGTGAAGTTTCGATCGACTTTGCACTTCGCGAAAAAGACGCATTGTTTCAATACTTGATTATATATCTTCATTGTACAAAAAGCTTTAAGTTGGTCAACGACGGAGAAATACTTGTCAGTTCCTAATGATAGCAATAAAATTTTCTTTCTGGTAAAAACGTTTGCTCGGAATGTGAAATTTGAGGATACTTTAAAAGACCTGTGAAGTTCAAGAAGTACCAACCTCAACACGGCAGTCATTTACTTTCAGTCCATGAGTGTCATCATCATTACTTTCTATACATTTGTTCACTTTTGGACACCAAATACATCTCATATTCGGTGTGGTCGCTCCTTGGCATGCTTCACTTGTATTGAAGTTCCAACAATTTTCTATGAAAAGAAAAAGTTGTTTTAGTTTCAAGTTATCAAACAAAAGAAAAGAAAAACACAAAACCTGTAACTGTAAGTCATGTGATGGTGATTTCTGACATTTCCATTCGGTGGAAAATGGTTCACGCGATGCATAATATAAAACTCAGTGCTTTTTCCATTCCACCAATATTTCACGATGGCGTGTTTGAATTGAGTGAAACTACATCGAGTGTAAAGAATGAAAGATGAAGTCTATCGAAGTCCATCTCATGATTGATTAAAGGAATGATTCTTTGAATATTCTCAATGTTTTTTTCAAAAGGCTAACACATGGCATACTGAAAAGTATTCATGGTATAGGTTATTGAGAAGGAACGCATTCTTTTGTGAATTTATTACTCAAACGCTGACCATGACAAATTGTATTTTGTAAACGTGATATGTCTATCCCTTCAAATTATCGGATGTGTATGACAAAGCAGAGATTACGGAAATGAGACAGTCGTTTTCAAGGTAAACTCAGTCCCATTGATTGTATTCACAACAATAATGCCTCAGAAAAATTTCACATGACATTTATTGAAAGAGAAACAGACGCTTGATCCTCAATACACAATCACCTAACTGGCACTTAACACTTTTCGAAACTAATAGTATCCCATCTTTCATTTTGTGGTAAGGTTATAAATAGAAAGTAAAACGTCATTTGAGATAGATGCCTGGATATTATTCATTAGTTGACTACAGTTACACACAAAAATTTCAGTTTCGATAAACAAAAGTGATCTTTTTGAGTGTGAAAATAATTAATGCTGATTAAATAGGGTTATACGTACTTCCGATGACTTCAAACTCCACCAACGTGCCACTTTTGATCCATTTTGCAGGAACAGGTATTTCATGATCCAAAAAATCTTGAAAGGAAAAAGACACTCGAAATTTTGGTTTCTTCATAACGTATAACAAGTAATTTGCACCTTTTTAGAAGCCATCAATATCAAGATTTACTGAATATTTTAATACGTACACAGTGATGATCACTCTTAAAATTATGGTTGACATCGCTCTTAGTTTTGAATGTGACAGATGATCAGCCAGTAAATCAAAAATCAAAACGGTAGATTTCGGAGTTATTTTACGAAGAAATCAGTTGAATATTGATGATTATACTTCAATCTCAGACACACGTTTTGTCGTAGTAAGAACACGTCGAGGAATCAAACTCAGCACCATTCACTTCACACTACATTCGAGTATTCATTTAGACAATCATTTCAAATACCCAATGATTTGTGTAATCAAGTGAAGCCTCAACTCATTTTTATATTGTTCATTGAATCCTTCGATTGATGTTGGGAACCGCAACTGATTCACATGTATCACTAAAATCATTTCTGTAGTTTTTCAAAAAAGATAGTTGATGAACTGAAGACATAAATACTTAGATTTCAATTCATTTAACCATGGTGATCCTCTGTTGAAAAGACATAATCACTGATATTAAACGCTTTCAAATTAGCCAACACTGTCATTTCCAGTCAGGTATAACACTGCAGTTTTCTTACAAGAAATGTGAACACTTATTCAACGTTAAATTCTCAACATTCAGAACATTTTGGACAGAGTGTTTACAAATATCATTTGGATTCCATTTCGCACAATTATACACAACACTTCGATAGCATTTTCACCAGCCGATTTTACACAAGAAACAACTGATTATTGCAAACTGTTAGAAAGCTATACTACTAGGCTCTGATAGGATATATGGATATCCTACATGTACATCACCATACATCAATGAGTTAATAAGATTTGTTGAAATGTTTCTTACACATTCCACATCCGAATGTAGCGTTGATTTTCGATATCCACTCAATTCCTTCAATTTCCGTAGGAATCTGAAAACGAAGTGTTGAAAGTCTGAGTCAGTGTGTGTAACGACACAATCAATTAAGTGAAATCAATTGATCACAGAAAAAATGTCTCCATTTATATCATTTCATCGAAAGACTACTAATCACACTAATGTTGATGATATTTTCAGTTTTCTCTCCACAAATGTTCCATTCAATGTGTAAAGATATTCCAAATCACAAAGGTTGTCAACTTCAGTCAAGTCTTATGGACTATCAATCATGATATGTGGCGACGTACTGTGAGATGTAAATTTTCGTCTGTTGAAATGAAATGTGATGGTAAATAACTGTGAGGATGCTGCAACCTGGATTTTCAACAATGAACAATCCGAACAGCTAATCTTAACAAGATGAAATGGAGCATGACAGAATATGACACATTCTGTATAGTACTCAAACATACACTATCCGTTAATAATCGTCACAAACACATGATTATTTATTCTGATAGATTTTCACTTCTGATTATTCATTATTTTCAACACGTGCTTTCATAGTGTGTCATTAAAACGATTGACAATCTTGTCAACTAGTCCGTTTGCTCATTACACAATGTTGATCTCTTTTTATCATGGTCAACGTAACCAGATACCTTTGACAGAATTGAATAATATGAAACAGTAGAATGATCTGAAGTACATGAACAAAATAACATTTTCATGAGATTGTGCAACTTACGTTATCAAAATACAAAGTTATTTTCCCATTTGGTTGTATTACACTAGTCATCTTGGCTGAAACATCTACAATAAGAAGACTGTCGATACTCAGAAATTGAGGTATTATCGATTAACAAGGTAACAAGGTGGATAGGTTGCAGTAGATATCTAGTGTGTTATCTGAAATGCTTTCTTCAGATGGTATGGAAATTAATACATTAAAGTGAACGTCATTCGAATGAGACGGGCATGAATCCTCTCTAACAAATATCAAATGCCAAGATTCTGAAGCTATATTACTACTGTGTTATTATAAAAGCAACGAATCGTCTACTTTGCCATCCAAGATATGATAGTCGGAGATATATTGACATTTGCGCAATATCTTGAATAATTTTATTTGAAACAATAGACGCATGACATGAGCTGTGAAGTGTTCGCCTTTACATTAAACTTGAGGATTTAGTTGGTTGTCAACATATATAGTAATTTCCACTGGTCTACTGATTCTGACTACTGTGTCTTTTTGTTGTAGATGAGAAAGGAAAAGCTTTAGATATGTGTAGATAATCGTTAATATTAAGGAATGACTATATGATGAATAGATTGGTAGGTGGATGTATCATGTTCAGAAATGACTTTGTGACTGAAACCTGAAAGGATAAATAATCTCTACATTCATTTTCCGACAAATGGAATGAGATTGTTACCTATTTTATCCATGCTGACTTATTTATTACTCGTCAACTATATTCTTTTTCAGCTCACTTTAACTGTTCTCTAAGTCAAGATGGTTGTACTCAGTCTCCCCTCATTTTCCAGAATAGTAGCACCTTCACTCTTTTGTTAGTTTTTTGAAAGTTGGATTTGTTCAAAGCGAACACGCATAAATTGAGTAATCATAATGATTGAAAGTGTGAGTGATAAAAAGTTTCGCGCGATTGATCCAACGATAATTCAATGTTTACTCACCTTTATCATTGACGGTAATTACAAAATTCCTTTTGACTGCTAACAATTCGTCTAAAATAATGAAAATCAAAATAGATGATAAAATATCTGAATATCGATTATCTACCTCTTTCAATCAATGTACGTTTTGACACGGACTGCTTTCTCAAACAAGTTAACATCTACATTTCGAGAATAAAATAAACCGGTGTAGCTAAGCGCCCAATCATCTCTTAGGAGGACATTTCAAGAAGTATTATGAATTTATCGAGATGATCAACCTTTTAATACAATCAACTGAGAAGAATATTTCACTTCATTAAAATTTGTTCTAGAAGCTTTCCACTTGGAAATAGACGTTCAATACCTTATCGACAATACATCGTCAAAATCTTTTCATGAGATTCTGTTATTCGTCAATTCTGATTTTTGACCGAAATAATTGTATGTCGCGTTGATGTTCTAAGTGTTCTTATATGAGTTATTCGTACTGTACAAGAGGACATGTCATGGTTGTTCATTAGTTAACTGTTTTGGAAAGTGTTAGGATTCGAAGTGCAATATCATACCCATATGATCACAAAAATAGTCTCACATAGTCGATGATTCACAGACAACAAATCACGGACATTGAACTTTCATGGATAAAGTATATGCTAGAAAACCTTGATAGTTCAAACACTTCAATAATTCAAACCGACTCTTCTAACAACATCGCTTACCATTGCACAAGTGGTCAGTTTACCACGAAATATGGTGTTGATGAGATATCTTCTGTTTTGTTATTTTCATAGACTGGAGGGTGAGTAATTTTATTTCTGGCAATTTTGTCACTTGGATTATCAATCCAATTCACTCAATGTGTATATTTTCAAAGCAATATCTCGTTTATTTTACGGCTTCCCTTCAAAACGTGCTACACACAGACGTTCTCGTACAAAAATCACACAAACAGAACAATCACTGTGAACTGGTTAACTCTCTTGTAATAATCAAGCAATATACTGAAACATTCTGACAAAATAAGTGCGAGAAAAGGAAACAAAACAAACTTTAAATGAATAGTATAAAAGCTCACTCTCATTGAAGACCACAGTTTCAGATCTCCGAATGTTTTGTGCAAAATTTTCAATATCTCCGAGGTAGTAGTATCTTTTTCTGGTTAAAAGTATCCTACCTGTTTTTATTTGATGAATAAATGCAACATTATTGATAATTTCGCAGTGAATAAATAAAGAGATTTTGAAATAAATGAAAGAATTCAATCATTTGCATGAACTGTATTTTGTTTGTTGTAAGAGGCCAAACCTTTGACAGTTCGAACGATAAAAGATATTCAAAGACGTTTTTCATGTAACAAGGAACCTCAAACTGGTTTACTGAAGAAGTTGAATCAACTTTGATTCATGAAGAAAAATTTGATCAAGAAAACTCAGTCATAATTCGAGCTCAACAAAATTTATTGGCTTACCATAATAGTAAATATAAACATCATCGATTAGAGTATCGTAGAATCGAAAGGAGAACTTCGGTTTAAAAAACTAAAATGATGCAAACATATGGATATGTAGTTCTATTGAAAAATGAATTCAACTCACGTATGGAAAGGGAAAGTTTCGATAACTGTCATTAAAAGCTAGTTGAGACTGATTGAGCCGAATCCTCATTGAATAATGATAATGAAGAGACTGGAGTATATGTATTAGAATTTAACTGACATAACTTACATAACGGTACGAATCATTTTCAAAAATGATATTGTCGTAGATCAGCAAATCAGGGTTTTCGCAAACCTCATGGCAGTTGAAATGTCTATATGGCCAAATGATGATCAGATGAAACGATAACCATAGACTGCGCAAAATGGTATATCTAAAATGATCGAGATGAACAAATCAACGGTATCTCATTATATCAAAATTTGCATAGAAATCTTATGTTCATTCAGCACTTACCTCATCTTCTCGTGTAAAGTTATAAATGAAATTTTGATAGAACTTGTCAGGTTTATATAGAATTTTGAAGTGTTTGTTTGTTTCTTCGTGATTCGATGGTTCAAAGTGACCATTGGAAAAATCTAATTTATTAAAATCACACGTTCATTGACAACCAATCATGAAGGTAAATGACCTCATCATTATCCAATACGCTTCTGACTGTTGAGATGATTAGCTGAAATTTATCGGCCGTTGACCCCTGTGATTGACAATATTTCAAAATATGCGGTTGCCCAAGTTGTTATTCGAAATTTGTGCTTATGTGTCTACGAACAAACAGTATCTTATCTGGTATAATTTATTGACTGACCGTCACCGATCAGCAGTTTTGATTTGATTGGATGAAATCGAAGTAGCACAAACTGTTTTGATTGGAAAATAATAGTTACCCTTTTACCCATGAATTCCATCGTCGTTCATTATGAAATTGTAACTTTTAAAGAAAGTCATATCTATTCTTTTCGTTACCATATTATAACACTGATTGTTAAAAAGTGTCTAAATGAAAAAGGATAATCTATTCAAATTATTAACGCAGAAATAGATGTAATTGTATTCAGTTATGTTGATTGAGCTTTCGAAAGAATGTAATAGAAGAAATAAAATGCATTTTACTGAAAGTGAACTGTTGAAAATGGAGAACGATATCTCCCTCGTGACACAGATTTGAAATAACAACAGTGATTATTGTATCTGAAAATTGAAGAGTTTAACAATACAGAAGTGGAGGACTGATTCGAATTCAGTGTTTCGATGAATGATTACTATACATCATTTGAACTTGTATTAATTGTAGTCTGTGTCGAAACATACGAGAATTTCACTGTGATAAGATAATATCAAGTGTATACTTAACTCACACTAAACATAGAATTCTGATGAATGAGTAAAAGTCTGTACTTCAGCAAGTGAATAATAATTTCAACAGACTGAGATGGGAATATTTGTTTTGCATTATATTTCAAAAAGGTTTACCTCCCGACTCAGTGGGGTTGTATTGATTTACTTGAAAAAGATGTTGACACTAATCAAAATGTTTTCTCGAGTCTCACGGTCTATTGTCTAAAGAAACGCTTTTGCGTAATTTTGTTAATTCATCAATATCAAAATTGTTTTCAATGATGCATTGCTCATTCTATGCTGTAGACCAATATCTGATCAGCAGAGGAAACGTATCTGTGTATGTAATAGTATTAATGAGTGACTGTGTTCAGGAAGAGTATGACGGACATTATTAAGTGTTC